GGGCACCTGCGGGCGGGGTACTGCGCGCCGGCGGCGGGGGGAGGGCGAGGGGCAGGGGCCGCTCCCGCCCGTCCGCTCCCCGGCTCCGCATTCCCTCTCCTGCTCTCACCTTCCTCGCCGCTCCGATCCCTTCTCTCCCTCCCCTCCCTCTGTTCCACCCTCTGCCCGCGCGGACCCTTCCAGCCCCCGAACTCCCGGCTATAGATTAAAGTGCGGAGCTGAGCTGGGGAAGGATGCGAGGCAATGGCGAGGCAGCCGAGCTCCTCTATTTCATGTACGTATCTGTCTTACTTTATGGAAGTCACTAACTATCGCTGCGGCGCATCAGTCAGTGCCAGAGCTGCCCGGCAGAGCGGAGCATGACTGGGTTGCTCTCGTTTGGGCTGAGAGTTATTTATTGAAGGGAGATTCACCGGCAAATGTAACTGAGCAAAGATGCCAGCTCTCTGAGCATCTGGAGTCCAACTTCTGACCGCGGATGAAAGAGGGATGCAGAGAGGACTGGTAAGAGTTGCCAAGAAGCTGGGCAAGCGAGAACGGCAGGAGGAGGAGGAAAGGGTACGGGGTAGGAGAAGGAGAGGGGAGAAGGAGAAAGGGGAAGGTCGGCTTCAGGCTGGGGTATTTCTTTTCATTCCACCCTCCTGCCCGGGCTAAGGCTGCCTGTGGGTTCACGGTACCGGGGGAACGGCTCTTCTCCAGGAGAACAGACTTCTCCCACGGGTTCTGCTGCCCGAGAGCACAGCATCGCACACCTCGCCCCCCGGCTCCCAGCCTCGCCAATGCCGGCACGTCGGCCCGCAGCGTAGGCTCAGGTGTGCGTTTAATGGCTCCGGTTGCTGTGCCTCCGGTAGCTCGAACCGCCCGTCCTCGGGCTGCATCCCCCCGTAGGTCCGTGCCTGCGGATGCTCCGGGACCTGGCAGCGATCTGAAGCTCCGAATTGGGCTGGAAAGGAAAGGAGCAAACCCAACCAGCTCAGGAGAGAGGCAGGGAGAGACCGTCTCCGCTGTAAAGAGGGAGAAGCCATTTAGTCATCTCTCTATCTTCCCAATGATGATTGCATTTTCTGATTGCCTCTGACTGCATTTAGAGAGGGAGTCGGGAGGCAGGCACAGCTCACCTCGTACCCACAGCAGCGGTGCTCCCTCCCTGCCCGTTCCCTCGGGCTCTCCCTGCCCCTGGTGCCTTGCAGGTAATGGGGTGCTGCGAGATGGGGCGCCCGGGCTGCCGGGGTGGGCAGGACTTGGCATGCACTTATTGTAAGCCTGTTGCTTTTGCTCCCAGATCTCTGCACCCAGCTGAATGGGTGCTCTGCAGAAAGTTTTATTATCAGATGTGAGCGGGAAGGGAAAGGAATACAAGGCTGAAAGAGGATTTTGAAGCTCTGAGTGGTATTTTGCTCTTAAGCGAAGTATCTTTGCTGCCTGAGCCTGACCCAGCTATGGAGAGAGAGTGAGAGGAGGGATGATCTCCAGGCTCTTCACTCCCATTAGCGTTGTATCTCATCAAAACACTCACTTGTTCATCAGCCGTATTTTAAATCATCCCTGTCTGCTTCCAGAAAAGGAAACGCCAGGAGATTTTGGTTCTGTTTTTGTTTTTGAAGAGTCGTTTAATAAGGACGGCAATGGCAATAGAAGTCAATGTGGTAAGAATCCGTCGCTTATTTGCTGACCCTTTAGGTAAACAGCAATGACTGTTCTCTGAAGTTCTCCTCCAGAGCTGCATTGATCCAACAGCACACGCCAGGGTTTTGCTTTTAGCCTGGGATCACATCGGGGTGCCAGGGCAGCACAGCTGGGCGGTGGGGAGGGATGGAGATGGGGCTGGAATCTGCAGAGATGGGCTCATGCCAACGGCTTTCCTACCCCATGTGCTTCTCCTCCTAACCATCCACAGAAAAGAGTTATTTTCTCCACCGATGCTGACTTCTGTAAGTCAAACAGAGGCAAATGATTGTATTTTGTGCAGCAGGTCTTCTGAATGTCATCAACAGGCTACCGATACACGTTCCTTCCAAACTGCATGCAGAAATTACAGTAATTAAAGTCAGAAATGTGTGTGTAGGCAAGTACGTGTCTGATAGAGTTGCAGTGTGTCTGTTCCCTACTCAAGCTGAAAAGACTGTTGCCCATACAATGTATTTTGTGCCCAGGAATGCTTTCCAGCCTGAGGAGAATGGTTAGCAGTTACTAAACCCAGACATGGAGGGCAGAAAAGGGGCTTCTTTTCTTTTTGATAAACTGTTCCATGGTTTTGTTTTGTTTTAAGCGAGCTGTGCAGCTCTAACTTACAAACCCATCTCTCTTAGTAGAGATAAAGTCCCAAAGATTCACAGACAAGAGAAAGCAAAACCCTTCTGAGAAGGGATTTATTATTCTCTGCCCTCTCAGTCCTTCTTACAGAAGCCCGGCTTACATCTGAAAAAGGTTTTTTTGAGTATTTTGTGGACCAAATGGGACAGATTGAAGCAACTTTGCTAACAGAGCTGTGTGTGCTAAGCTCACTTAACCAGCTGCATTTCTTTGTAGTGGAGAAACGGGAACTAAGCCTCTATGGAAGAACACCCTTCTCTTGTTTTAATCTCCTGCCCGTTTCATAGCTGAGGTATTAATAGCTTCCCCACATACACTGCTAGCATGGAAAGACCCATTTTATCTTTAAAAATTGATTTAAAAATGCGTAAGTGACTTGTGAGCTACCAGTGCTCTATTAGAACAATTATACGTGAAGTATTTATAGAGCCTCAGCAGCCAATGTAGGTAACCTGGAATTTACAGCCAAAGTTATAAGTACGGAAGAGATTTCTAATAAGGCTCCCCAGAGAAATTAGGGAAGATGAGGAGCTGTTGCTTCGTAGCTGCTCAGGTCAGTGTACATCACCAATCAGTCCTGAAATAACGACTTGTGGTGCTTTTAATTGAAATTAAAAAGCACAGAAGACAGTTTACCAGCAGGGAGATTAGGGAGAGGATGTGTTATCTTGGTGCCTTGGCTATTTGTATGCATTTGGTGATTAATGACAGAAGTGGTTGCCATCTTTCTGCCCCCTGCTTTGCAGCCCTGTTCCTACAGTTACAAGATGCACTGTGCCAACAGCAGTGGGCAGCTCTGTCCCCAGGGAGCTCCTCCAGCTGCAGACTGGGGCAGGCAGTCAAAGTGGTGCAGAGCAAATTTGCGGTGCTTTCCTCCACCTCTGCCATGGACAAAGGGTTGTGAGGTCTCCAGGGCTGCCATTCGGGCACCCTTAGCTCAATACCTTTGTTCCTTAGGAGGAAGAGGAAAAAATCGTGCTTCATGATATGGGACAATCCTCCATAGCAAAATGCGGTGGGATATTGGCTCTGGTGCGTGCATATGTGGAAAGTGTCTCCTTGGGATAATCATTATGGATTATTCCATGTTTTGTAATTACAAAACTTCTTCCAGCAGCAGTGAGATGTGGGATTTCAGTTGTCCTTTAGGTAGTAAAATTGCACAGAGAGATGCTCCATATTAAAGTGATGAATGTTAATGTGTCCTGAAGAGGAAAGAGCATTCCTGGGAGCAGTTCAGTTGTTTTTACCACAGATTGATTGCATCATTTTTTATTCAGTGTTTTGATGGCTGTTGAAATCAATAATGCTGCAGCCTTACTGGCTGGAATGGCAGCTTTCATATAATTAAAAATGTTCAGAGTAAAATTGTATAGAAGGGTATCATGTAGAGGATATAATTAGGCTAAAATTGTATAGAAGGGTATCATGTAGAGGATATAATTAGGCTTTGAGGGCTTGAGTCAGTGGGATCAATGGAATCACCATTGATAGATTGGCTTTTGATAGGGACCGTAATGCATCTGATATGATAATGGCACCTTTCTCCAGATAATTTTATGGCAGACTTAGGAAAACAAAAGGGAAGTAAAAGTAAATGCAAGTTAAAAGATGAAAAAAAATTCAGTATTTTAAGAACTCTGACCGAAGACCAAAGAGAGAAAAGGAAAAGAAAATTTGTGGCCAGATCAGAACCACATTAAGCACTGTAATTTCCAGAGAATGTTGGCTTCCAGTGGTTGAGGGTCTGGACAAGTTGGGATATATTTCATCTAAAAAATCAAGATTGCAGTGAAGATATTTCAGTTCAGCCTAATGGTCCTTCAGCTCTGTCTCTGCCTGCCAGGAAACGATCAGGGTCTCCTGGTAATAAATCCTGCTGGAAGAAAGCTGCCCAAGTTTGGAGGCTTTCCCGTTCTGCTTTTCCTGGTACTCCGTTGGTAACATTTTCCTGTATTTCAGTTCAGTAAAACACACCTCTAAATCCAAGAGACAGGCAAAAAACTCCTGCTGAGCCCAGGTCCTTAATTAAGGGTGGAAGAAAATGAATGAAAACCAGAGAGGTGGAACAGGTTGCCCAAGGAGGCTGTGGATGCTTCCATCCCTGCAGGCATTCGAGGCCAGGCTGGATGTGGCTCTGGGCAGCCTGGGCTGCTGGTTGGCGACCTGCACACAGCAGGGGGTTGAAATGAGATGAACATTGTGGTCCTTTTCAACCCAGGCCATTCTATGACTCTATGATTCTATGATTCTGACACCTGGAAGCCCAGCTCAGCTCAGTTGTGGCTCTTCATGGCATGCAGTTTTGCTGGGTGAACTGCAGGCTGATTTCACTGGCACTCCCAGCTCCTTCTTGACAGCTGTAGTTAAATGGATGAGCACGAGACTTACACCTGGGGAATTCTGGATTAGTTTTGTTTGTAAGGAAGCAAATATAAATTACTGTGTTTATGCTGCTTTTAAAGAGCTTTTAATGAGGAATCATTTGCTATTCAAAATTTCAATCCATAATAATGCCGTAACCTCGCCGAGTTGTATCTCCTTTAACATCCTCTTCATCCAGGAGATGAGGGCAAGCCGGCAGTTTGAAGTTCTTGCACCCATTCTGATCCAGCTCTTGAGCACGATGGAGAAACCCTGACTGATTTTGTGCTGTGCTTTTATCTGCTCTGCCTTTCAGATGGAGCTGATCTGACTCCTACCCATCCCCTCCAGTAACACGGCCAGGGGCACCATGGCTGCAGGGGTGGCTGCGTGGCTGCCCTTTGCCAGGGCAGCTGCCATAGGATGGATGCCAGTGGCCAACTGTCCCATGCCGTTGGCTCCGACAGAGAAGAACAAGAGGCAGGACGAGCTGATCATTCTCAACGTGAGCGGCAGGCGTTTCCAGACCTGGAGGACTACACTTGAGAGGTACCCGGACACTCTACTGGGCAGCACGGAGAAGGAGTTCTTCTTCAATGAAGACACCAAGGAGTACTTCTTCGACCGGGACCCCGAGGTCTTCAGGTGCATCTTAAATTTTTATAGAACTGGCAAGCTGCACTATCCCAGGTACGAGTGCATCTCTGCCTACGATGAAGAGCTTGCCTTCTATGGGATCCTCCCTGAAATCATTGGGGACTGCTGCTACGAAGAGTACAAAGACAGAAAGAGGGAAAACGCAGAGCGGCTGATGGACGACAACGACTCAGAAAACAACCAGGAAGGGTCCATGCCATCCCTGAGCTTCCGGCAGACCATGTGGCGAGCCTTCGAGAACCCCCACACCAGCACCTTAGCCTTAGTCTTTTACTACGTCACCGGTTTCTTTATTGCCGTCTCTGTGATCACCAATGTCGTGGAAACTGTCCCTTGCGGCACGGTGCCGGGGAACAAGGAGCTTCCATGTGGGGAGAGATACGCTGTGGCTTTCTTTTGCTTGGACACGGCTTGCGTGATGATTTTCACAGTCGAGTACCTGTTGAGACTCTTCGCGGCCCCAAGTCGCTACAGGTTCATCAGAAGCGTGATGAGCATCATTGACGTGGTGGCCATCATGCCATACTACATTGGTTTGGTGATGACCAACAACGAGGATGTCAGCGGAGCCTTTGTGACTCTAAGGGTTTTTAGGGTTTTCAGGATTTTCAAGTTCTCTCGCCATTCCCAAGGCTTACGAATCTTGGGCTACACTTTGAAGAGCTGTGCCTCTGAGCTTGGCTTTCTCCTCTTTTCCCTCACTATGGCAATTATCATCTTTGCTACTGTGATGTTTTATGCAGAGAAAGGGTCCTCAGCAAGCAAATTCACCAGTATTCCTGCTTCCTTTTGGTACACTATTGTAACCATGACAACACTTGGGTGAGTATTACTTTTTCTTTTACTCGGCAGCCTGCAAGCATGTAGTAGGAGCAAGACTTAGTTGCTCCTAAGCAGTTTTCTGGATGCATGTTGCAAAAGGGAATAGAAGTGTTAAAGACTCGATTGTTCTTTGCCTGATAACTTCTGGAATTCTGTGTTTACATGTATGAAACAGAAAAAGCACTTGAACCCACTTGACAAATGCTTGGCACAATGGTAAATGAACGCAGGAGAAGCAATCTGTGGAGCAGTAGGTGCTGATTTGCTCTCATTCTGCAGGAGAGAGAAGTGGAAGGAAGTTGGCAGGTTGTGCTCGGGTTTTTTTCAGACATTCATTTGAGCCATGGATTTTACACACAATCTCTGATGTATATTTTGACTCTTTTCACAACGTTGGTCACAGTTTCTTTGTGTGGCGTGCCAGGAGTTACAGATGTGCTGAATTCAAATGGATATTATGGGCTGCTGCGCTCCTGAAGTCACTCAGTGTCACTCCAGGACACGTTCCGTGGGATTTTTTCTCCCTCAGTTTAGCAAGAAATGGGCTTCTCGTCTGTGTTTAGTGATGAGTTGAAAAAGTAATTGGCATACGCTGTGTTAGAACTTCAAACACTGCTATGGACAGGTGCGGAGGTAATGGAATAATCAAAGCAAAGGAAACATAGCCTGGAGGGCGCTGTTTTTTCCCTTCTATTTCATTTCCCCCTTACAGATATTTCTACTGAGATTATAGATTTGAGCTTCTGTCTCCCTGAACAAAAGCCTTTGTCAGAATGGCCGAGCCCTCACCCTGATGGGGTTATGTAAAAAGAAAGTAGGCAATCATCTCTTAATGCCACCCATCAGGACACACAACGTTTGTCATTACTTTGCAAAGAGTTTTCCCACTGAAGAGCTCACAGGGTTTAATGCTCAGATGTAGACAACCCTCACTCTTGTAATATGGTCACCACTTCTTTCCTCTAAGCTGCTTGTGATTTTAAACACTTCTCTGTGCCTATTAGGCATGGACAGGCTCACAATGGCTCTTGTAAATTATTGAAATCGTAATTCAGCTGTCAGAAAGGCACAGAATCTGATGACAACTGGCAGTCTGAATTCTTCAGTAAGTGAGAATAGCAATGTTTGTCACACCAAAAGGCTCTCTCGTTGCCGTTCCATATAACTGCACCCATCCTTCTGTCTGCAGACACGTGTGTGTTCACATGGATGTCCTTTCCATCTTTGTCATAGGAAAGTTGGGGTTGAGGAAACGCAGTTTTGCTTGGGAACAAAAGTTGCTGGTAAAAGCCATGCAGAAAGTGCTGCAGAGTGCAGTTAATGCTCTGCTCCCATCGGTGCTTGGTCTTGTTCCCTTTCTCTTCCTCTCTGAACACATAGGTGACAAAACAGAGTGCTGAGGACTTGAAAGTGTCCTCAATCTGTTGCAATCACAGAAATTATGGATGAATGAGTGCCTTAAATGAGTCGACAAGAATTAAAAACACCCAGGAGTTTAAGCATAGCTTTGTAAGCGTTCATTGGAAAGGGACTGATAACATGCTATCAAAGCCTTAAAGCTTACACTTAGCGTGTTACTGATTTGGGGCTTTCTGTTGCTGGATTTTAATTAAAATAGGTGTCTCTGGCAAACAGTGTGCCAGCTGAGATTGCTGCCTTTAGCACAGACTTGTAAGGCACTCTGAAATCCGGGCAGCTCCTGCAGAGAAATGCCAACACCTGCCTGCCCCACACATGGCTCTGGCACCTTGCTGTGCAGTGCAAAACCAAACCCTCCCTGCTGGCTTCCCAAACCCTGGGAATCCTAGGCAAATCCCAGGCAGACAGGTTGATGCTATGTGCCACGCAGACCTCCTTGGAGCCCACCGACAGCCCCTCACCCAGGGCAGCTCTACGCCATCGAAATCAGCCAGCTGCAGAAACAAGACTTCGGCCCCACGTCATTCCCATCTTCCTGGCATTTTCACACCACAGTCCATCTCTCTCTCTTCAGAAATCACTTAGCAATGTTTGGAAGGATCTTGTTACTAATGAGAGCGCTGGCAATTCCCATCTCACAGCGGTTGCCAGCAGCCGGAGTTCCTAACGTGCTTCTTATTCCATCTCACTTCGCCTCTCCAAGCAGTTGCCTGTCAGCTGCTGCCATCCCAGCACTGCTCAGAGCATCCCAATATCATCTGCTTTAGCCAGTATTTGAAACAGGAAATGTACAGTGCCATAGCTTTTAAGCCAAATATACACACGTGTATAGATTTCTTCTTTTGAACCCTGAGACTTAAACAGATAATGGACATTTCCATGGCACTGTAATATCTTTGCTTGTGGCAATGTGATTTGCAATGTGGAGGACAACTTTTCCCGTGTTTCCAAGCCCCTTTTATATGAAGGGAAAGTTTACTGACAATGAAAACCCAGGCTAGAGCTAGGAAAGCATTAACAGATGTTCCAGTTGACTAACGTTAATAATTAAAATAACAAATCTAAGCCAGATATTTGCTGGAGTAAATTAAATTTGTTCAGTTGGAAGCAAGGAAGTCATCGCCATTTGTGAGAGCCAGCCTCCGTGCACAGCCTGGTGCACAACCATGATAAAGGATTTTCCAAAAGGGGTTTTTCCTCTGAGCAAAAGGCACAAAAGCAACAGCAAAAAATCAGCAGCGCAGGGAGGGAGGTACAGCAGCTTTTCTGAGATGGGAAACAAAGCAAAGGAATTAAATTATACTGACCCTGCATCTCTGAGCCCTCTGCTGTGCTCATCAGCCCCGCTTTAACAGAGGCTGTTTTAATTTAGCACGAGTTAAATTTTGCTCAGGAGGTTTTATAATGAAAGCATTACTCTTAGGTGCATCTCAAATCAATCTGAATCACTGAATCAACTATTCAAAATTAACTCAAGGCCAGCTATCCTATGCACAGCAGCACTTTCCTCTGGAGGCAGCGGCTGCCCCTCACCCTGCAGCACTCATCCTCTAATCTGCCTGCATTTGTGCCCCCTCTTGCTTTTAACTCACTTCATACACAATGGCCCTCAGCTTTACACCCACACTGAGACACTTTAATTATCATAAATCGTGTCACTTTGCTACCAGTGCATTGTTTCCATCTACTTTTAACTGGGGTTTGCTTCTGGAGGGGCTGACCCCACATCCCTGTGTCCCAGTGTGACAAACAGGGATGCGGTGCCAGACCCCATCTCTGCAGGCAATTCTGCTTCTGCCCATGTCATGTTTCCCTTTGCTGTTTATGGCTGTTTTCCTTTTACCTGACAGCAGCAGTATGTTCAGCCTCCCAGGCAGCGTCTGTGAGCACAGCGTGGCTGCAAACCCCCCTTCCCACACCTGTCCCCGTGGGGTCTGTTCTGTCCCTTTGGGTTTGGCTGCGCTGGTCACTGTGCTGGGACAGCAGAACCGTATCTGCAGAGTTTGTTCAAGGAGCCACATCAGCTTGGGGAAGTCATACAGCAGATGCAATGGCCTTGCCATGGCTGCAGCCCGCTCTGCAGCGAGGAGGGGAATCCCTGAGTGCTGGGGGGGCTGGGAGCAGTGCACAGATCCTGAGTGCTGGGGGTGCTGGGCTCAGGCTTGGGGGCTGCTCCACTGTCCTGCTATTACCCAGCTGGAGCCCGAAGTCCTGCAAATCATGGGGATGAGAAGTGAGAGAGAGCTGTCAGTAATCAACCATCTTGTTATTTGTTTCGTTGATTTCTTGGGCTTTCTTTTTCACTGGTGTTCAATTTTGGGGAAGGAAGGAATGGGATGAGATGTAAACAGGGGAACAGGATGTGAAACTTGCAGCGCTGCCGGCTGAGCGCTGAGCAACTGCAGGGCTGCCAGCACTGCGTGATGGGGATCTGTGCAGCACTGCTCCATGCGTGGCCCCAGGGCCCGTAGACCGATAGCAGCCCTCATTCACCCTCCTTCATGTGACCCGGGAGGAGTTTGCAAAGTCATGGAAGCCATAGATCAGCCCTGCAGTGCTGCCATGCTGGGTGCTCTGCAGAGCTCAGCCCCGTCATCGTATGGCGTGTGTCACCTCCTCAGTAAGTGGAATCAGAAATATTGCTCTAATAGAAATGCTGCTTTGCATATCTGCCATCGTCAGGGGGAAGATGGATGAGCTGTGGGACATGTCCTTTGTAAAGCGAGGTGCCAGCACATCATCACTCTCCCCATTTCCTACGGGCAACAATTCTTCTGCCCACAGGCCAGGGAGCAGCTTGAATTTAGTATACAGAAAACCCAATAAGACAATGAATTAATGGAGCTACACAAAGAAGTCATTTGCTTGAGCTTTCATTCTCCTGACTCCAGGTTCACCTTATATGAAGTGTGTATCAATTTTCTTCCCCTAATGGATTTACAGACGCTGCACGGAACATCTCTGTATCAGAATCAGAGACAGAACCTTTTCCTTCTCTGCCTTGATGCAAATCTCAAGCAAGCATCTCATTTTTGAGCTATTTGCATTCAGCAGAAGTATTAAAATGCCCTTATTCATTCTTGTCGCAAGTGGAATTCATTGGATTTTCACTCTCTCAAAAAAAAAACCAACCCTGAAAAACGGGAATGTCTCTGTCCTTGGGCTTTTTGTGGCTCTGGTTACTTGTCATGATTGCACACACAAGCAAACACCCCATTTTCTAATGGGCAAGGGCAAATAACTTTCCATCAAGGCAAACTCGTGCGAGAAGGACATTATTTTGAATGATGCTGAGTAACGGTGCTGCCTAAAACCACAACATGACTACTGTGCTTACCAATGGGAACCTTGGCAGAGATGCATCTATAGCAACTGAGCTGAGGAAGCTTTCGCAGCTCCTCATTCCTGCTTCCCTCCCCAGCCGGCAGCACAGCGAGTGCCTGAGAGACGCAGGCTGTGGAGAGCATTGTATTTTCGCTGGAGATGAAGGGAAGTGATTGGCTTGCTGATTCGGATCCGAGTTATTTTTAGTCTCATAAAATGATAATTTCATAACAGCGCTGACCCAGTAAAAGTAATTA